CCCCAATAGTATACTGAGTGCCTTCCAACCTCAGGGGTTCGTTTTCTGGCACTCTATCAGACAATGTTCCACTACTATTCATAAGGTTTTCAGTGGCTAACCATTTGTAAGTGGTCTGCCTTTCCTTCTTCCTAGTTTGTTTCTGGAAGCTCTGTTGAAACCTGTCCACTATGGGTGCCCCTGCTGGTATTTAAAACTCCCATGGCATAGCTCCAGCATGGCTACAAGCCAGCACAGTACAGCAAACTGACAAGTGGGGGATAACAGCTTTTTTGAGATACATTTACAAACCATAAATTCATCTCTTTAAAGTATATAAATCAATGGTTTCTAGTATATTCACAGAGTTGTGCATATCACCACTATCTGTAGAATTTTCATTTCTCCCAGTACCCATTAGCCTCTATTTCATATATTTCATCCCATGTCCCCTAAGCTCTTAGATATATTAATCTGTTTTCTCTCAATGAACTCACCTATTCTGGACATTTCAAATAAATGTAATCAAATGATACGTAGCCTTTCCTGTCTGGTTTCTCTCATTTAGAATATTGTTTTCAATGTTTATCCATGTTGTAGTATGTATCAGAACGTCATTCCTTTTTATGGATGAAAAAGACTCCATTTTGTGTATATACTACATTTTGTTCTAGATCCACAATCAACACACGAAAGCAGCAGTTAAGAAATCAAACAACATATTGGATTTGACAAATCTGCTGCAAAAGACCTCTTTAAAGTGCTCAAGAGCAAAGATGTCACTTTGAGGACTAAGATGCACCTGACCAAAACCAGGGTATTTTCAATAGCCTCATATGCATGTTAAAATTGGACAATGAATAAGAAAGACTGTAGAAGAATTGATTCCTGAGTTATGGTGTTGGAGACTATTGAAAGTACTATGGACTGTTACAACAAACAAATCTGTCTTGGAAGAAGTACAAACAGAATGCTCCTTATAAGAGAGGATGGCAGGATTTTGTCTCTCATACTTTGGACATGCTTTCAGGAGGGACCACTGGAGAAAGACATCATGTTTGATAAATTTTTTAAAAAACATTATGTTTGGTAAATTTTAAAAAATCATGTTTGGTAAATAATTCAAAAAAAGACATCATGTTATGCTTCCTCAGCATAAAAGAGGAAGGCCTCCAATGAGATGGACTGACACAGTGGCAGCAGCAGTGGGCTCAATAGCAACACTTGTGAGGATGGTGCAGGATTGGGCAGTGTTCCTGTGGTGCATAGGGTCACTCTGAATCAAAATGGACTCCATGGCACCTAACAACATCAGATGCTCGATTTGCAAACATTTTCTCCCATTCTGTGATATCTTTTCACTTTCTTGAAGGTGTTAAGTGCATTTATTTTGATGAACTATATCTATTTTTCCTTTCTGTTGTGTTTTTGGTAGCATATATTAAATCACTGTTAAATGCTGTCAAGTCAGTTCCAAATCATAGGAACCTGTGTAAGAGTGGTTGGTAGGTTTGCACTGCTGACCTGCAGTTAACAGTCCAGTGCTTTTCCTATAGTGCCACACTAGGACTCAAGCCATTGTCTAATCCCAAATCACAAAGATTTACTATAAATGTATTCTTAGAAACTCTTCCTGTTTTAAGAGTTTTTTTTAGTTTTAGCATTAGCATTTAGGTCTTTGATCCATTAAAGCTTTCATATATGACATTAGGCAGTGGATGGTGTAACTCTAATATTTGCCTATTTTTTACAGGTCTTTCAAGATCAAAGAGCACACTCTTCAGTATGGATTGCATCTCAATATAAAGAAAACAAAAGTCCTCACCACTGGACCAATAAACAACATTCTTATCAATGGAGAAAATATTGAAGTTGTCAAGGCTTCATTACAGAAGACTAATAATACCACCATCTTGGGTTAAAAACAAGGTATGAATAAAATCACTGGCTTCACTGAGCAGCTCAAACTGGTTCTGAAGGCAACTGTTTAAAGAGGCGTTCCAAACAGACTGAGTGATATACAACCTACCACACACAAAATTTTTTTAACTTTTTATTGTAAATTGAGTGAAGGTTTACAAAGCAGATCATCAGTTTTGCATTAAACAAATCACATACTTTGCTTCATTACCATAACTGCAATCCCCTACCAGTATTTACCTCTATTCACTCTTACTGCATTCCTCCGTGTCTTCTGCTACTTTCCTTTCCTCTGCCAACCTCCCTCTTATTGTAGATTGCCTACCCTGTCACCCATGTTAACATGTCTACCCTCTAGCCCATAATTTTCCCTCCACCCACCTCTTAACCATCAGTGTTTCCTTTATTAGAAACCTTTTAACCTTTGACATTGGTTAATACAGTATTTGCCCTTCTGTGATTGACCAATTCCACTCAGAATAAAATCCTCCAGGTTCATCCATGCCACAAAGTGCTTCACAGACTCATTATTCCTCAATGTTGTGTAGTATTCCATTGTGTGTATGCACTAAAGTTGAATCATTCTTCTGTTGATAGGCATCTAGGCTGCCTCCATCCTTTTGATGTGTCTCTTGTAGACAGCATACTGAAAGATCTCGTTTTCTTATCCATTCTGCTCCCTTGACTGGTCCACTTAATCCATTTACATCCAGTGTTAATTCTCAGTAGTATAAACTGATTGCTGCCATTTTGCTGTTTTTTGTTTTTTTTTTCTGTGGAGATGCTAGTTTCTTTGTTCCACATAATTTTCTGTGTTCGTTGTCCCCCAAGTTTTAATAGTACATACGTTGTCACGGGGCAATGTTGTACTTCAAAGTTCATTAAGCCAAAAAGATTATACAGATGCTTCTTTAAATGATCTCTCTTTGAAAGTCAGGTTTACTAAATGCTTTCATTTTAAACACAGTTAGTTGCAAGTTGTTAGTGCTATAGTGTCAGTTCCAACTCACAGCGACCCTGTATAGGGTTTCAGAGTGACTGGTGGGTTTCAACTTCTGATTTTTAGGTGCTTACTCTACAGCGCCACATCATGCTAGCTGTTTGTCAGTGCTTTCGCCCAAATGCATGAGGTTTTCATTTTTTATTGATTGTGGTTTATAAAAATGAGAAGTCTCAAGATACCAGAAAGTTTATCCATAGCCCAAAATAATGTTTATTATTCTCCTGAAATAGGAAAATTTATATTTCCATAGTAAAAAACAAAAGCTTAAAATTTTTTTTTAAAAACTAGTTGAGAATATTGATGAAATTTATTTATTTCAGTAGAATAAAACAAGCAGCATGAAAATGTAAAGTGCTACATAAAAGCCCCACATTACATAAAATCTGAAAAGTTCATTGGCTTAAACAGTTACAGGTGAAAGACATTATTATATATATATTTCAAACATGCTATTTTAACTACCTTGATATGTAGTTATGGGCTAAGTAAAAACAACAAAAAAGCCATGAGTTACCTAAACCTGAGGACTAGGGACAGGAGAATACTAAGGCTTTACTCAGCAGATCAGACAGCGGTTGTTTTATGCTAGAACTAAGGGGCTAAAGGGGATCTTTAAAAATACGTTTTCTGGGGAGTCATTTCATGTGGGGGTTGAGTAAGAATGGTCCCAAATATTACATGTACTCAGTAACTCCACAATGGGGATCAGACTGACAGCCTAAGGATTATTAGGGAACACATGTAAAGTGAAAGGGCAACAGCAAAATATGCTTTCAGGCAGGTGTATCAGGTGCTAAAAAAAATCCCAACACAAACACGAAAGTGGGCGGAGGCTGAGGGGTGAGGATAGAAAGGCAGAAAGACCCTGCAGAATCTTCTTGGCTTCCTGAACTTTATAATACAGCTACACCCCATGGCCACAGGCAACTTAGGATCACATGGATTCAGAAGTTGGCTCAAGTTTGAATGAGAAGACTCAAGGCCTCATTATGTCTGATGGTTAAAAGAACCAAAGTCCCATACTGGGAGTAAAATATAATTTTTGACTTTAAAATCATTTTACAAATTGTTTCTATCTTGCCAATAATTTCATTTAGTTAAAACTATACAAAGGATTTTATGAACACTCTCTTCCAAACTATTCAAAATATAATATGGGCTAACTTTTGTGGACTAGTCTAGAACTTAAACATCAATTACAACATTCTTTGAGCCATTAAAAAAAAAAATTAACTTACAAGTGCACTTTAAGAGCACAACCTATTTGAAAGCTGGGGACTGCCTGTATCTAAAAATTAAAACTTTATTAACAATATCCCAAAACGTTCTCTCAGTGCTGACATAGAAAATTCTAAATACAATGTTTTCCTGTGATTATATTTTTTCAACAGGTATTGGGATGAAAAAGTATCAGAGTTTGTGGAACTAGCTAGCAATAAGTTATATACTGATTTTACACTACAGATTATTTCTTGGGCTTTGATTAGATGGACAGTTCTAAGATTTTCCCAATATCTATTACTGTTACTTGGGCCCTGAGCTTTTGTATTAAAATGGTATATGAAATATTTCAATATTATGCATATTCCTAGAATAATTAAATTTTATGGTGATCACAAGACTAGGCATATAATACATGTCAAAAGATACACAATTCAAAATAGAGAAAACATTAAAATCTTAAATTACTTGATTTCTGGAAGACAATCTTTTCCTGGGTTGAATTTTTTCTCCCTTAAAAGAAAGATCTATGCAGGATTTTCTTCTTTCTTTTTAAATTTTGTGTGCATGTTAGGGGCAGGTGATTAACAGTATGTCCAAAAGGTTACAAAGCATTATTATCACTTCAAGTAACACCCAATAAATATATGGTCTCCAGTTCCTCAAAATGTTTGACTGAAATAAAGTTACTGAAGAATGTTTAAGATATAAACCTGAAGTCATAAAATGGGTAATCCCAGTATGTTCTACAAAAGACACTTCAAGCAGGCTATTTGAGGGGTTTTACTTTTCCTTTTCAACATTCAATCCCTGTATCATTCTACAGAAGTAGAAACAAAGTACTCAATAAGTGGTATTGAGTAAACAGTAATACTCATTGGAACGTAAAACTTCATCTTTTATCCAAAGATTTCAAAGATCTATACAGAAAAGCATAACAAATTTACATAAACAGCAGCTGAGGCATAAGTAAGAATGATAAACTCTTTGTAAAGCAGGTCAAACAGTGAGACAAAGGACTTTTGACTTCCGGTCCCTTAACCTAGGCAGGACACACTGCTGGGCACAGTCTGAATGTCCATCTATATTTCTACTGAATTAATAAGGATCCAAAAGGAATGAAGGGCAAATACAAAATAATCTTTTTGTAAACAATGTATACCCAATGCAGAATGTTTAATGAAGCACTCAAGTCACAGATCTTAAGACACAAAACAATGTTATAACTCAAAGTCAAATATGTACTCATTGGCCAGATATATTCGTCGGAATATAAGAGCTGCCAATGCCAAAGTCAGGATGACAATCAGTACAGCTGAGCCGCCATGATCAGTATGGTTGTCTCTTGGTTGCTGGCCCTGGATTCCATCTGGAGAAGTCGATGACCTTCTTTGACTCTGCTGCTGGGCCCGACGCTGTCGAGGACTCATGGAGGTATTCTTAGTTACAGACTGGCTAGGCTGCTGAAGGGATGCTGCTGAAGGGGTCTGTACTCCATACTAGAAAATTTAAGAAATTTTGTTTGAAACTTTGTATATATACTTAAGAATACACAAAATCAAAAACAAACACAGAATCTCAGAATACTAAACAAGGATATAAGGGAACAACTACCAAGAATTACCGGTGCATTGAGACTAATCACTCACCATCTCACCCTCCTGAATACGTCAACACTACAACTTATTCTGACTTTTCACCAGGATGAGGAGGAAATTACCAACAAATAAGAGGGCAGAATTTACCCATATTTTCCAGAGATGGGTTTCAACTCCTACTTAGGCTGTGACTTCAGCAGTATCTGCGGGGCATCTGGGGACCTCCCTTCTTTTAGAAGGTCCAAAAAGGGAGGCAATCTGACTTCCATTTTCTGCTTAAAATTGCCATTCTCAATGGCTAAAAAAAAAAGGCAATTCTTAACTGTGTGTCTTTCAGGAACCAGGATTCTTCTGACATTATCCTACATCAGTATGCTTCCACCAACAGTCCAAGAATACAGGAGATCATTTCAAAGTAGATATTATACATTCTTCACAGCAAAATAGCTGTAAAAATTAGGTATAGTTTTCAAACCAGGTTTAACTTTTTCCATAATTTTTATTAACTAAATTGAACACAAGTTCCTAAGTATCCTGTGCTAGATATTCTATTTTGTCAAGAGTTTCCCATGTATGTGCTGAGAAAATGTGTACTAGTTTTAAAAGAGGATGAACTTTGTGAAAAAAAGTTACCTACAGAAGAAATTCCATTTTAAATTTGACATTTATTTCAAAATTAAGTTTACAATAACCTGAATTTTCTGAAATGATCTCTTCAGAAGCACTCACATGAAGTCACCCATAACGCAGACCCTTAACATGCTGCTGTTAAACAGAAGGTACTGTACTTAGAAAATACCTGGGGTAGAAATAGTTGGCAAACAAAGGGGCAGTGAGCACATTATTTGCATAAAAATGATACTAATTTTGAGTTAAAAACAAAAGTTACTGTTGATACTTACAGTCACATGACCTTGAACTTCCACAGTCCAGGACTCCCAAATAAATCCTGGAGCAATCTGCTCACTGAAGCAGCAGACACACTGAGAAGCATTTTACAAATATAAAATGCCATAAATCTTCATAGACATATGTACTTGTTAGGTACTGTGGAGTCCATTCTGACTCATAAGGACTCTATGCACAACAGAACCAAACCGCCTGCTCCTCCTGCACCATCCTCACAACTGTTGTTACACTTGAGCCCACTGCTGCTGACACCATGCCAATCCACCTTCTTGGGGGCTGTGGTGCCTTGAACTTACTTGATATGACTTTTCTAGTCTAATTCCCACTAAGTGATAGGGTGGTTGTTGGGTGCCGTCAAGTCGGTTCCAATTCATAGTGACCCTACACAGAGTTTCCGAGGAGCAGCTGGTGAGTCTGAACCACTGACCTTGCAGTTCAAACCGACCTTGAGGTCGAGTGCTTATCCTAGCGTGCCACACTAGGACTCCAAGTGGTAGGATGGGACCGTGCAAATAAGGCATATAGAACTCTAAGGCTGGGATTGGTTAGTTTGGCCCTCCATCTCAGAAGCAGAGACAGAAGATCCCAATATTATAAAGAAGGAAGAGCCTGAGTGGAATAAGAGATACCTACCTAGAAAAAAAACAGCGATGGCAGAGGCAAAGGCATGGGAAGACAGAGCAGCACTGGGGTCTAGATCTATGGACTGAGGCAGAGGTTAAGGGGCCACATGGCTAGGAGGTCAAAGAAAAGAGTGCGGTGTATCTGCAGGGTGGCAGACAGGAGGCATTCCTGACTTGAGAACTGCTGGGTCATGAGTTAGTTTTCATACTGAATTGTACCCTGTTCACTTCCCTAATCAACTGCATACTCCTGAGTATTGTTATGAGTTCTGTGTGGCCACTGCAATGTATTATTGGACCCAGATGTGAAGCAGAGAGTGCTGTGGAAGGGATGGCTGTCAACATTGGGTAAATAAAGTTGTAGGGTGGAAGCATGTTTGACTTTTTGATTCAAGCCTTGGCCTGATAATGAGTTTGAGTCTCTCCCTTATGAAGTCAGAGAAGTCTGACATGGTCCCTACATGATTTTCTAGGAGTCTTCCTCTTTTGTGCTGACCCTCCACTTTATTAAGTATAATGTTCTTTTTCAAGAACTGGTCCCTCCTGATAAATATGTCCGAAGTATGAGAGACAAAGTCGCATTATCCTGGCTTCTAAGGAGTATTCTGGTTGTAGTTTTTCCAACAGATTGGTTTGTTCTTCTGGCAGTTCATAGCCAACTTTCAGTATTCTTTGCCAACACCTTAATTCAAATGCATCAATTCTTCTACGATCTTCCTAATTCACTGTCTTAACTTTTATATGCATATGAGGCAACTGAAAATACCAAGGCTAGGGTCAGGCACACCTTAGTCTTCAAACTGCTCATGAACACTAAAAGAGGTCTTGTGCAGCAGATTTGCCTAATGCAATACATCATTTGATTTCTTGACTGCTTTCATGAGCACTATGGATCCAAACAAACTGAAGTCTTTGACAACTTCAGTCTTTTCTCCATCATGTTATTTACTGGTAGAGTTGTGAGAAATTTTTGTTTTCTTTACATTGACGTGCAACCCACACTGAAGGTTGAGGCTGTGATCTTTATCAGTATTTCAGTTCTCTTCACTTTCTGTGTATTGCAGGTTGTTTAAAGATTCTTCAATCCTGACGCCATGTTTTTCTTCATATAAACCAGCTTCACAGATTATTTGTTCATACAGATTTGATAAGCATAGTGAAAGCATACAACCCTGGTACACAACTTTCCTGATTTTAAACCATTCAGTATTCCTTTGTTCTGTTCGAACTACTTACTGCTTCTTGACCTACAGTAGGGGTGGAGAAACCTTTTTTTCTGCCAAGGGCCATCTGAACATTTATAACATCATTAGCAGGTCATACAAAAATATCAATTTAAAAATTAGCCTGCCATATTTGGTTAAATACGTCATTAATTCACCCCCTAGTGAGATGGCTGGAACAGCGGTTGCCTTGGCAGGGCCAGACCAAATTGTTTCACGGGCCCGGACATTACCCACCGTTGGTCTACAGGTTCCTCATGAACACAATTAAGTGATCTGGACCACCCATTCTTAACTACCATGTTATCTGTAGTTATGAGCCACATCGTTGAATGTCTTCGCATAGTCAATAAAGCACAAATAAATATCTTTCTGGTATTCTCTGCTTTCAGTCAAGACCCAGCTGACGGCAGCAATGACATCCCTGGTTCCACGTCCTCTTCTGAATCCAGCTTGAATTTCTGGCAGCTCCCTTTCAATGTACCGTTACAATTATTTTTTAATTATCTTCAGCAAAATTTTACTTGCATGTAATATTAATGATATTGTTCTACGATTTCCACTGGGCCATTGGTCTTTGGAGTAGGCACAAATACAGCTAGATCTCTTTTAATTGGTTGGCCAATAAAGCTGTTTTCCAATTTCTTGACATAAATGAGTGACTATCTCCACTGCTGCATCAGTTTGTTAAAGCATTTCAATTTGTAGTCCATCAATTCCTGGAGCTGTTTTTCACCAGTGCCTTCAATACAGCTTGGACTTCTTCCTTCAATACCATCAGTTCTTTTCATATGGCACCTTTTAATAGCTTACTTTGTCTTCTTGAGCCACTCTTTGAAATTTTCTGTTGAGCTCTTTAACTTCATTTCTTCCATTCATTATAAATTCTCTACACTAAGAGCAAGTTTCAGAGTCTCTTCTGATATTCACTTTAGTCTTTTATTTCTTTCCTTTTTAATGACCTTTCACTTTTTTACTGTATGATGTTCTTGATGTCATCTACAACTTTTCTGGTCTTTAGTCATTAGTGTTTACAGAATAAAATCTGGTTCTTGAGATGGTCTCTAACTTTAGGTGGGATATATTTTGGCTCTTATGGCCTTGTTTTAACTTTCTTTGGTTTCAACTTAAACTTAGATATGAACAACTAATTGTCCCTCAGTTGGCCAATGGCCTTGCTTTGGCTGATAACATTGAGCTTTTTCATCCTCTCGTCCCACAGATGTAGTCAATCTGATTCCTATGTATTCATTCCATCCGGTAGGTCCATGTGTATAGCTGCTGTTTATGATGTTGAAAGAAAGGTATTTCAACATTGTTGGTGTTACAAAATTCTACCATGAAATCTCCAGCATTGTTTCTATCACCAGGACCATATTTTACAACTAATGGTTGTTTCCAACGTTCACATTCCAATCACTAGTAATTATCAATGCATCTTGATTATATGTTTGGATCAATTTCAGACTGAAGTTTGATAAATTCATCAATTTCATCATCACTGTCTTTAGTGATTGTTTAAATTTGAATAATAGTGGTATTAACTGGTCTTCCTTGTAGGCATATGGATATTATCCTATCAGAGGCACATTAAGGCATATACACTCACTTAACACTCATTGAATCAAACTGAGTTACAGTTACCATATATTGCATCCTTCCATTTGAAACCTCCCATTTTTCTAACAACCCAACAAGATAAAAGTGTTTGGGGCTTTTATTTTCAAAAAAAGTGTTTCAAGTCCTTGACACTTAAAAAGAAAATTGATTCTTAAGGAAAATTAAAAAAAAAAAAAAAAACCATGATAGTGTTATTAATTCAGAAACAGCACAATGCTTTCTATTATGTCACCTGTCCCCATGCATTTGAGGGGAGAACATTATTCTGTCTAAAAACTTGGTCAAAACAGGGAGCCCCTTACCATTACTATCCTTGCTCTAAGATGTGTAACTCTTAGCAAATTATATAACCTCTCTAAGACTCCATTCCCTCACCTGTAAAATGAGGGTAGTATCCAACTCAGCTGTTGTGAGAATTAAATGAGATGATATAAAATGCAGAAGGCACATAAAAGCTTATGAAATGTTTGTTGTTATTAGTATTGTTACTATTAATACGGATAGCCCTTTGGAGGCACCTAGATTT